AGAAGGAAGGGAAGGAGGGATGTGGTGGTTCTATTTTTACCTTTGATCCCTGTGTCCAGCCTGATGCCTTTATGTGCAGGGCTCAAGCACATGGGGAAAGATCTCCGGCTAATTTACATTGCTGTGCTGGTACTGATTTTGTGGCACCTTCCTGATTTACACTAGTTACAACCTTGCTCCTCTCAGATCCAGCTGTGCCACGAACAGTTAATTTTCTTAGCAAATGAAGGAGATGATAGGTTTTGGGAGTAGGGGTGGGATATGAGGAGAGGTAAGGCATTGAATAGTTTGACTACGCGCTGACTGCAGTGATCATTTCTTCTCCTGTTCACTAGGCTGTCTTAATCTCTTCTTATTTCAGAAACACTGTCTTCAATATCTGTGGCTCCAAGCAGCTCTCGGGGAACAGTGGGAACGTCTTTAGCTTCAGTGAGTTCCAGGAGCATCCTGAGAACCCAGATGAGGAGCAAGAGGCAGAAGTGGAGGCAGGGTGTGCAGGTGATTGTTACTGAGCTGTGTGAGCTGGTCTGAGTATGATGCCTTCTAGCAGGGAGTCAGACTTCACAGGAAAGGGAGGGAGAGGGTGGCAGGTCGTCATGGGACATGAAAACTCTATCACATTGTCTCAGGTCCCTTCCTGTGTTGTTGGCACAAGACTTTTGGCTCTGCTTCAGGGTGCATCTGTCTACCTCTGGAACCTTCTGCAGAGGCAAAAGTACCATCCATGGTGCCAGCCCATACTGGTATTTCTTTGAGGTTGAAGTTAAATTGCTGCATGGTCACAGACTAAGCTCAGGAGCTCCACTGCATGCTTGGGAAGTTACCTCTCCACGATGGTAGCTTATATTTGCTGTGTGCCAGATAGATGGGCAGGGTGCAGGGTGGGTTAACAGGTATCATAAAACGTCACAGCTTTGTTTATTCTGGGGTTACCTGTGGCTGATCCCTACTATCTGTGCTCCAACCCTGTGGATCCCGGCAGGTCAATTTTGCTTGTCCTGTGTGTCAGTCTTCTGTGCTGAGCTGTTGTGAGTCCACCCATAGCAAGACTCAGAAGTCCATAGTAGCAACCCAACTGTGTGTAAATTAACACTATTTCTCTTCAGCTAAGGAGGGTATCGTGGAGGATGGAAGGATGGAGCCCAGGCTGAACTGGGTTAGGAAAGCCAGGTGGATGAACAGTGGCTTCCCAGGCTTGCCTGAAGAACTGTCCAGGGAGAGGAACCCAATGGATAAAGTCAGTGTCCTACAGCAACAGATCCTGACACTCACAGAGGAAGTCAAGTCACAGAAGGTGAGTGTGGCAGAGTCTGCTGCTTTTAAGGGCAGGGCCCTGAGACTGGTCACAGAGGCTCCCTTACACCTTGGTGTTAGGCTAAGAAATGCTCAGCAGGCGCTCACTGGAGACTAGCTGAAGCTCCTGTTGTTACTACCCCTTTGTATGTTCCTGATTGTGCCCAGCACAAGGGAGGATGGGCTGTCCTTCAGTCATTGCTAGGAAGTGCAGGAGGTAACAGAAAGTGCATTGCACGTAATGGAAGTAAACAGGCAAAGGAATAGTGAAGAGTACATTGCTAGGAAGTGCATTGCTAGGAAGAGGGAGGTAAAACAAATCCAGGTGTGCTTTGCAGGCGTCTTGCTGGTGCATCTGTATTGCTCAGTGAATGTACGAAGTACAGTCATGAATATGTACCATGACACCGACCGGAACTGCCAAGCTGAGTCATGCTGTTAACGGCAGGTTATTCTTTTTGAACAGTCATCCGCCTTTAAGCGCTGTTTTGACTGTAGAAGTCATGGGTCACTGTAAGGGCTGTCTCTCCTGGATGGTACTGTTCTTCTTCACAAGCATGGAGCAGTGCCAGGCTCTCCACTAATGATGCTGGTAGCTCTTCCGGCAGAAGAGGCAGGAGAGCCAGGTCCCATGGTGGGCAATCAGTTGCATCCTTGCTTTGGTTCCTTAAATGGCTGAGATGGCAGAGCCTGAATGAGCAGCATGTTGCTGGTGCAAGCTTTTGTGCCTACATGTGGGATGAAGTGAGGGAGGACTCTGGCAGAGGGAAGGTTAAAGTAGATACAACAGTTTCCTTCAGGTAGCACACATAGATGCAGACTATGCAGATTACTTCCCTCCCTCCCTCCTATTTTACGACACTGCTGCCCAGATCTTCACCTTCTCTGGTCTCTGCTGGGCCTCCCAGGAAGGATGACTGTTGAAAGTCAGAATTCAGACAATGTAAGCAGCAGCTTGTCTGTTAGTAATCCACCTAAAGTCATCTGTGGCCTGCTGCAGAGACCTTTCAGGCCCAGCTCTGAGAGCAGACCTTCTGTTCTGGGGAAGCACTGTGATTTCAAGATTGCTGTGTTCAGTTTTGCTCCTGAAAGGAGTCAGTTTCAAGATCCTGAGGACCTTTCACTGCTCACTTATTGCTAGTTGGCTTTGTGCTGTCCGTGCTGCCATTGTCCTGGTCAGCACTGTGATGTAGTAGCTTTGCATTCCCTTTCCAGGAGCTGGTTAAACTTCTCCACAAAGCTCTGGAGGCAGCCCAGCAGGAGAAGCGAGTATCTAGCATGTATATCACTGCAGCAGAAGATAAGGACAGGCTGGAGCTGGTGCGCCACAAAGTGAGACAAATCGCAGATCTCACCAGTCGACTAGAAGCTCTTGAGCAAGAAAAGAAGGAACTGGAGCAGATGCTGACTCTGAGAGACAGCCACATCCAGGAACTCAAGGAGCATGTGCAGCTTCTGATGGAGAAGAACCACGACAAACAGAAAGTCATCATGACCTTGACAGAGCAGATGGCCCGAGAGCTCTCTGACCGCCTGCAAGAAGCCAACACTATCACTGCAGAGACGTTGTATAAGCAGCAGGAGGAGATTCAGCACCTGAAGGTGTGTGAGACAGCACAAGTCATTTGGGGGCTCCCATTTCTGTGCCCTTTGGTTCAGTGGGAGGGTGTTCCTTGTGGGAAGCACAGAATATACTTCCGCTGGTTGCTCCATCTGTCCCCAGACCAGAAGCAGGCTGGAAGGGGCTCAGCTGGTACCAATAGGGTGATCAAAAGCATCTGGGTCAGTTTCAGTTTCAGCTCAGAGCCTGTTTTGTTTGACTTTGTGTCACCATTCAGTGCCTGCTTCTTTTTTCGCTCTTTTGTTTCACAGTCGCAGTCTTACTTGCTGTCTTCAGTAGCTCTCTTCCTCCGTGTTTCCCTCTTGCAAAAAGTTTCCCAGTACATCATGGTTCTTTCAAATCCAGCCTGTTGTATGTCACTATATGCACAATTATAATGATCAGTTTGTGTGAGGTGGAGAATTTCCCAAAGAGCCACTTACTGCATTGTGGGAGTGTGTTTGGTTTTGGTGCCAGCCATGGGGCTGAGATTTGTGTCAGTTTTTAAAAAGATAGAACAAAACACATACATTCTTCATCTTATTTAGGTGCTTCTCTAGCTTTGTATCACCCAATGTCTCTGTGTTTTCTGTACTGTATGCAGTATACTTAGCTTTTTCAAGTGTCTTGTCTACACATGACATTTCAATTTAACATTTTGCCTTGATTTCCTTTGTAGGCCATATTGGGGAGTCCTGTCTTCTCCCCAGAACACGAAATTGTTGAGATATTTTCTTGTCCTTAACACAATCCATACCTGTGTCCCTCGTGGGATTTAAAAACTGAACTGGGAGGACATTCCAAGCCCCTCAAAAACTCTCCTTACGTGACTGTTTTTCTTTGTGGCAGGATGATATTGATGCATACAAAACCCAGAACCAATTTCTCAACTCGGAGATCCACCAGGTAACTCGACTCTGGACAAGCGTTGCTGAGAATGAAAAAGCCCTTCTGATGAAGGTAAGGCAAAATGATTTCTTTCCCTTGGTGAAAGCTGTTACTAAGTTCTCTTCAAAGTCGGCACTGGAATGGATTTTGGTCCAAAACAGACAAGGAATAAGCTTTCTTCCCAACGTGTTTTTTTAGGGTGGGCTTTTTTCTGCTTTGTGTTGTTTTCAAATTAGACGTGAGTATTTTTAATTCTTCAATAAAGTAAAATGCCTGCAAAGCTCAATCTTAAGCTCTGAAACTTAACCCAGATTTTCCTGAGAGCTGGCACACTGACTGAGCTCTGGCTCCATCTAGTCTTGATTTCTCTACCGGGCTTGGCACTGCCAGGTGGCAGCACTCTCAGGTCCTGCAACTTGAGCAGAGTTTGTATGCTTTCTTTCAGCTCTGTTATTATTTCTAGCCTTGTGAGTGTGCATAACCTGGTTACCCTCAGACTTGTCTAATCCTACCTTCTGGTCCTGAACCACTTCCCCAGACTGGTGCTGCATGCTGGCATTTGTTCTGTGTGTTTTTCCTGGGTTTTACTTCCCTGGGTTTTAAGGTATGCCTTCGCAGTCTTGGATTCTGGAACAGGGCAGGAAGCTGCTTCTGAAGTGTTATTGCTATTCTTACATCTGTTTGCTTTCTACTCCTTTGAAACCTTGCCTACCTCCTAACTTACTGCCCTTCTCTGATCCTGAAACCGCCGTAACCTTCAGAAAGGAAGTAAGCCGACCAACATACTCAATGTGAGGCAAATTGCTGATTAAAGTGATAACATAACAGTTCCTTTCTGTCCTCTCTATATGTAGCCTAATTCTCTCTATGGTTTCTGTTTTGTTTTTGTTTTCAACTGCTGCTTCCCATTGAACAGGAGTGTTCATTGAGCTTCCTGTGAGATATTGGGTGAGTCGTGTCACCTGTGTGGCCTCAGTTCCCCATTTATGGAGTAGGGATAACAGTATCCATTCCTTTTTTCTGCTTTCTGTGTTCAGGAGTATGGTGGTGTACCATGTTGTGTACCAGTGCCATAGGACAAGGGTTGCTGAGGAGCATGTGGTCACCTTGTGTGTGGTGCTACCATTTATCCTGACAATGGTATGGTCATAGCTCAGTCCCAGGAGTCGTTGTTTTGTCAGGAGACAGCTCAAAGACAGGTAGAGAGCTTGTCTGAGGAGCAGGGAAAAAGCCTTCAGAGAACTCAACAGTAGTGGTGGCTTTTTGGTTGTGTCCTGAGCTGAGGTGGCTGGGATATGGCCACCCACTGATGCAATGCAGTAACTAAAGCAGGTGATGCTGTAATAGGTCTCCCACTCAATAAGCAACTTCTGTTGCATGCTAGCTACTACAGCTTGTGCTTGTTTGTAGACCACGGTGGTTCATGCCTTGCTGCTGGATGTATTTTATGGGGCCTTGCTGTTCAGGATTCTTCACTTTATGTGCAGACCAGGCCAGTAGAGAGCAGTGGCAACACAGAAAGAATCGTCAATGAGCCAGGTCATTCTGTCTTGTTTCCCCATCAGTGTGCCTGCCTGCAAGCCCGAAACTGCCAAATGGAGAGCAAATACCTGATGGTCTTGCGGAAGCTGCAGGAGGCTCTGCCTGGTCTGCCCAGCTCCCATGCTGAGTTGGTGAGGAACCTCATCCAAGAAGCGCTCCAGTGGGATGTGAAGGAAGGAGCAGAAGAAGGTTTTAACCTGAACCCTGTAAGGTAAGAGGCAAGAGTGTGGGGATATTCACACCCTTGTAGGAGTCTGGCTGTGGAGAGGAATGCACAGGCAAGAAAGATCCAGGAACTTTTCTGTAGCAGGGACTTGGAGCCATGAGCTAGGAGTGGTGGTTGAGAAGGCTGGTTTAGTTTGGTGGTGTGGACGCCATAAGTATCTGATAGTAGCATATCACTGTAGGAAGGGCAAATGAAAGATTGCACAGCTAGACTTTTCTTGGCAGTGGCAGACAGTATGGCAAGTGACAACAATCGTGGTGTGCCTGAAAGGTAAACACTGGACATGAGGATAAACTCCTTTTGTAGGAAAGGAGGCCACCTGGGAGGTGGGGAATCTCCATCCTTTGCGGTTTTCTAGTTCCAGCTGTACAAAGCCACAGTTGCCCTGTTCTAGTGCTGGGGACAGTCCTGTAGTGAAGGAGGGCTGGACTGGAGACCTCCAAAGAGCCTTGCCAGCAGCGCTGCTGTGGTCCTTACATTTGTGTTTGTGCTTTCCTGCCCAGTTAGTGCTCCAGTTCTATAGGAGTTTCCATTTTGTCTGGTTGGTCAGACTCACAGGTTCTCCAGGTAGCTTTGGAGATGAGACCCCAAGGCCAGGCTTGGTCTCTCTGTCAAGAATATGGTGATATCTTACAAGTATCCCAGCCTGTGGACAGATAATGCACAAACCCTCAATGAGCTGTACTATCAGCACTCCTGGCTTCTGTTCAGTAGGAGATTGCGTTGTGTACAGGGAGACATCAGGAGGGACTATGGGTCTTTGTTCTTTGGTTTGATGCCCCAAAGCCTTTGCAGTCCCTTCCTACAGAATTGTCTCTGCACTAGGACATGGTAGGGAGAAGGTACGCAGGTTGAGCTAGATATGCCCTTAGGGGCAGGGATGCAGGTGAGGTGAGGGAAGTCTGATGAAGTTGGGCTGTAGCTCAGAGCAAAGTTACACTTGAGTTCGTGTATGTATGCCGTTGCTGCAGGCTCTCATTTGTCTTCAAGGCTCTGAGACAGTGGGCATGGCAGGCTCTCACATGCAGAGGAGTACCTGTGCTCCGGCATGGGTGACAGGACCCCGGCAGCAGGCTGTAGTTGGCATGGCCCCAAGAGTAGCCCTTGACTCAGGTACCAGCACTGTCCTTTGAACTAACTTCTGCTTTGTGTCTTTCCAGTGAGTATGATGAGTATGGGTTTATGACTGTACCTGACTATGAAGTTGAGGACTGGAAACTTCTGGCCAAAATCCAGGCCCTGGAGATAAAGTCCAACAACCTGCGGAGCCAGGAAGTAGTGGAGAAGCCCCTCCGTGACAGGTGGAACAGTGTTGGAGAGCTGACCCCCTCTGCAGAGCTGAAGAGTCTGATCCGAAGTGGCATTCCAGTGGACCATCGGCAACGGGTCTGGAGGTGGATTGTCAGCCGGCACTGCAGCCATCTGCCAGGCCACTACCAGCAGCTGTTACGGCAGAGCAAGAGCACCGAGCCCCCTGCCTGCCGGCAGATTGAGCTTGACCTGCCCCGTACACTGACCAACAACAAACATTTTTCCTCTCCTACCTCCCAGCTCATCCCCAAGCTCCGTAGGGTGTTGCTGGCATTCTCCTGGCACAATCCTGCCATTGGATACTGCCAGGGACTGAACAGGTGAGGAGCCAGATATGCTGCTTCTTCATAGGATAGCACTGAGAAGGTGTAGACTCCTACTTCAGGCTATGATTAAAACAACCCCAGGCCTCTCTAGAGTTCTCTCCTGGCTTTAGGTATCTTCCTGCAGAATTTTGCTTTTGGTGTCTTTTTTCACCCAGTGTTTTTTCTGGGATCGCGCATGCAGCAGGATGCACTTGTTTGGCATCTCCATAGTTACAGAACAGGAAAGGAACAGCTAGGGGAGGTAGAGTGAGGCAGTCCCAGAATAACAGCATGAGGCTGGGGTTGAATTTCTGAGTCTTACTGTGCTCAGCAGAACACCCTGGTGATTCCCCTTTTTGTTGAGAAGAGTTGGAGGAAATGTTGGGAAGTGTTAGAGATGGGTGAGTTGCAGCAAATGACATGAGGAGAGGCTGAAGCAACTGGGGCTGTTCTGTCTGGAGAAGAGAAAGTTCAGGGAATGTAAAAGTTTCTTTCATTTCCCAGAGAAGGCTATAGGAAAGATAAAACCAGACTTCTTAGAAGGCACTGGTCTCTAGCTGCAAGAAGGGAATTTCTGGTTGGACCTTTCACATGAGGGAAGTCTGTGTAAGCTATTCCTGTTGTTCTATGGGTGGTCTTCAAAAAGACATTTTCTACTCTATAGAGCCCTTGATATTAGAAGTTGTCTTTCCAGTCTTGCTGAAAGGGAGTAAGTCAGAGCTGAAGGGGGTAGGGGCTGAGTATCTCTGAATGAGCTCTCTCCTGTATTCAAATGGCCAAAGACATCACACTGCTAACTTCAGATGTACAGAACATCCCCTTAGCTGGGGAGTCTGGCTTTGTCACACCAGTTCTGTATTTGATGCTTCCTGTTTGCTGACAGAGGCACATGGGAAAGAAAATTGCAGCCCCATGGTTCCTTCAGAAACCCACAGAATGGATCACTTGCCTCTCTGACCAACTGTCCTGCCACATTTGATGTTCTGGGTGCTCATGGAGCTAGAGGCATGCCAAGAGGAATCTTGGATTCTCCAGTTCCTGGGCTGCAGTCTCCTCCTGCAGTGTTGTATTGCCTCACTATGTCTTATCCAACACAGATTGGCAGCTGTTGCCCTCCTGGTCCTAGAAGATGAGGAAAGTGCTTTCTGGTGCCTTGTCCATATTGTGGAGAACCTAATGCCAGCAGACTACTACAGTGACACGCTGATAACATCACAGGTGAGCTCGGCATCCTCACATCTGCTTGGACTTTTGCTACAGTGATTTACAGTGGAGGTTTAAAAGCAAGCAGTCAACTTGCAGTGTGTTTGATTTGTCATAGTACAGTGATACCACCTTGCAATCCCTTCCATTGCAGTGGTGTTGTAGATCTGACAGTACAAAATTGTTACACACAGAGGAGCAGCAAAATTGATCACCAACACTCGGGAATTGAGCACCACTCCTCAGTAATCACTTGAAGGTCAGGTTAGTCAGAAGGAAGGTACCCATTTATTGCACAGTTACTTGTTTTAAGAGGGCCTAGTAGAGGTGAAGCAGCAAACTCTGACTTGTGTAGAACTAAGTAGAAGAATCACAGAATCATGCAGAATCACAGAATCACCTAGATTGGAAAAGACCTGTAAGATCATCTAGTCCAATCATGAACCTAATACTGGCAAGCCCACCACTAAACCACGTCCCTAAGCACTATATCTACATGACCCTTAAATACCTCCAGGGATGGGGACTCCACCACTGCCCTGGGTAATGCATTCCAATCTCTGATCACCCTTTCAGTAAAGAAATTCTTCCTAATATCCAATCTAAACTTCCCTTAGTGCAACTTGAAGCCATTTCATCTTGTTCTGTTACCTTTTACTTGACAGAACAGGTGGACTCCCACCTCTCTGCAACCTCCTTTCACACAGTTGTAAGAAGACACCATTCTGCAGCCCTTCAGACTTTTCTTTGGAAACTGCACCCTGTCTTTGGTGTGCCATGTGCAGATGGAAGAAAATACTGAGATTTTTGTATTCATTGCACTGTCCTTAGTTTATGATCAAATACAGTGTTAGTTCTGGATTTGAGGTCCCCTGCAGATCAGAAAGCCTACTGGCCATTTCATGTAAAATGTTGTTCTGTGAGTGACTTACCCTCCTGGTTCAAAGTCACTGGATGGTGTGTTGACTTGTATCAGATATACTACGTCTTCCCAGGCAGACTCAGGGCCAAGATAAATCCCGTATAGTTCAATGGAATTGTAGTTGTGTGCCCACACCCAGCAGTGTCCACTCTGGTGAGCCTGGCTGTGACCTTGGTGTCTGTATTGTGTGTGGTCCTTTCAGAGAGAAGAGGGTTGTATCTGTGGGCCCACAATAGATGAGGCTACAAGCGTCAGTAGCTGAGAGTCACTGATTGTGCCACTGAATTGGTTGACTAATGTTTACTGGAGCAGTGGTGTGCTGGTGGAGAGGCCAACCCACAGACTGGGGAAGCAGCCAAATCACTGTGCAGATAGCAAAATGTTTATCTGTAGCAGGTAGTGTTAGCTGTGAGATTTAATAGGTAGCACTCAATACTTGACAAATAGTGATTGACAGGGAAAACATGGCAGACTGAAGACACAGAGGCTGCCCTACATTTGGTGAGAAAAGACTGTCAGCTGTGGGAGCCTTTGTTTGAAGGACTTTCTGACCTCATGGTTGGTCTCTGAAAGTCTAGCCAAGACCCAGATAAAGAGGAGGGTCTAGGGTGATGCTTTGTGGGTTAGCTTGGTAACGTGAAAGCTCTGGAAAACTTGAGATTTAGCTCTTGCAGATTTTAAAGACCAAGAATATTACCTTATCTGGTTTGTACCACTGTGCCACAGCTAAGGCAGTAGTATGATATAGCATAGGGGAATACCTAACCATGATCTTGCTTCTACCACTTACTCATGAAATCAAGGCTTCCCTGAGATGAAGACTTTACAAACCTGGGTCAAGGATCTCACCAGCTGCATTTCTGAGTCTCGGCTCGTGCAACCAGAAGCAGAGCACAGACAGTACTCAGACCACAAAGAGAAGCTAAGCGAGAAGGTCAAGTTCTGCTTGTGAAGTCAGAGGGATTCTAGGTATTCATTCTGTTGGGCCATGTGCAGTCATTCAGACCTGGGCAGGTTTTAATCCCTGTTATTCAATTGGATGCTCATGACATCACAGAAAATCCCAGTAAGACTGATGCGGGAAGATGTGTCAGCGTTTTCCCTCTTGACTTTGAGGTTGGGAAGGAATTTGATCCTCTGAGTGAGAAGAATGTATGTATCTCTGCTTGCATGTTGGCCCTGTTTCAGCTCCACACCTCGCACTGTACAGCATACAAGTACACTGCTCAGTAATTTGCAGTATTAGGAGACAACGGTTGCTCTGGTCTTCCTAGGGTGTGGTTAGGCTAGAAGGCAGCACCAGTGATGACTGGCATGCATGAGCCAGTGTCCTGTTGTGCTGCTCCTCTCCTCCAACACCAGGGCTGCTCTTGATCAGGACTTCATTGTTTTCTTTTTTTGTCAAATTTAGGTGGATCAGAGAGTCTTCAAAGACTTCCTGTCAGAGAAGCTGCCTCGCCTCATGGCTCATTTTGAGCAGTATCGGATTGATGTCTCACTCATCACCTTCAATTGGTTTCTTGTGGTTTTTGTGGACAGCCTGGTCAGTGACATCCTCCTGCGAGTGTGGGATGCCTTCTTGTACGAGGGAACTAAGGTGTGCCTCTCAGTCTAGGCCTTCCTCCCATCTGCACCACCTCTGTGACACGATGACAGGGCAATGGACATACATGTGTGTAAAAGAGATGTGGGGTAGACCCTCTTGTCCTGTCCGGCCTGTTTGGTGGGATGCCTTGATGTCTCCCAGCCTCTGTTGTCTGTGTACCTGCTGCTGGTAGGCAGACCTAGTCCCCAGTACTGTGCACAATATCCTTGGCACTTTTTAGCAGGTAGTCCTGCTATGAAACAGCTTTCTGAGAGGCTGTGGTGTCCTCTGCTCTGTGACCCAGACACAGCTGAGAGTATGACAGATACAGGGAGCAGAAGATAGACAGAGGGTTAGTATCTGAAAGCAAGTTGTGCATTGCCCCTGTGCATAGGGAGAACTGGAGAACCCCTGCGAAATCCCTGTGGGGTCCTTTTAGATGACCTGGTATGCACTGGGGTTGTAAATTAGCTTACAGAGAGTCATTCTTTTGGTCTTAGCTCTATGCTTCTTTAGGCCTGCCCCAGTGCAGTCTATTGAGAGCAGAAGCCCAGTGTCTAACCTGTAGTGCAGCACTGTGTGCCCCACCCCATGTTTTACACCAGGAGGGCCTGGTCCCTCAACTGCCTAAGATTTTGTCAACTCAAATACCTTTCAACCCTCCAGGTGATTTTCCGCTATGCTCTTGCGATTTTTAAATACAACGAGGAGGAAATCCTAAGAATTCATGACAGTGTGGAGATCTACCAGTACCTACGCTTTTTCACGAGAATGATCATGGATGGCAGGTAAGACTGTGAGTTGTAGACAACATTCCTTCCATCCTGGGTTTGCACTTGCTTGCCTGTTAGGTCAGCCCAAAAAGAGTTGTGAGCAGTCTGTTAAGAGAGATTGATGTGCGTTGGAAGGTCAATGGGACACGGATCGGTTTGTCTCATCTTTGTCTTTTCCTTCATGGTGTTACCTAAAGTCTTTCTGGCTTGGGCAAAGGCGTGCTGCAGCAGAGCAGCCCACAAAGTCTGGGCTAGCCTCCTTTTTGAAGCAGCTGGAACTTGTGCTGCCACTTGGTGGATTCCTCTCAGATGTAGTTGGGGTATTTGGCAACACAGCACCACTCACAGCCCTTAATGGCAGCACATGTCTGAGAGGAAGATTTCTGTGATCAGAAAAGCTTGATGTCAGCAATATTCCTCCCGTGGGGCTATCAGAATTGGCATCTGATCCACTGTCTCCTGACTGGTGGCTGCACACTGGTACCTTAAAAGGTAGTGTGGTGTAAGGCTATTTAAAGCATTACTTAGGTTGGTGTTTGTGTGAGAAGAAATTGCCTGTGATTCCTTTAAGACACAGCTGCTTTGTGACTTTTGAGCTGAGAGCTGAAATCTGAGGCCCTACTCTTTGCATACCCAGGATGCACTTGGCGTATCTGTTACCAGCCAGTAAATTGGTTCACCAGACCTGTCTTTTCCATTGTAGGAAGCTGATGAACATTGCATTCAATGACTTAAACCCCTTCCCCATGAAACTGCTGAGGAACCGGCGGTCAATGCACAGAGAAGAGCTGGAGGCAGAGCTGTGTGAGCTGGAACAGATCAAGGCAGCCTATGTAAAAGAGAGAGCAGAACAGGGGCCTCAGGACCTGAAGGAGGTTGTTAGTGAAGAGGAAGAAGAGATTTAATAAAAACCGAGTTCCTCGTCGCTTCCCTCCCACCTTGCAGAAGGTCTTCGGTAGCAACTGTCTGTAAGAGGTGGAGCAGGGGGGAACGGTGGTCACAGCAAGAGTTCATCTGCCCCAGGAAGCAAGGCTATAGGCATAGGACTATTTGGGGACCAAGCCAGACTTTGTAATGTGTTGGAAGGTGTCAAAGGAGTTTTATCCTCTTCTGTACTTCTCCCCATTCAGCCCATCCTGCCCTGTGCAGTTCAGTATTACAGCTGAAAGCCCATAGGAAATATCAGTTGTGGTACCATGACAGAAGTTAACATGGTGCAAAAGACCCAACCAGGCAGGGTTGTTCTACCTTTTCTGATGGAGGCTTGAAAGAGATCTTTATGTACAAGTAAAATCACCAGAAACAATGAACTGAGAGCACTCCTTCATTGGTACCTTAAGCTTCTGAATTGGTCAGGAAGAAAACCTGCTCTTTGAAGGCATGGTGCCCTCAGTGCCCAGCCTGCCAGGAGAGCATGTGTTTAACATTGCAGTTACAGAGTCATGGCCTTGTCACCAGATGAGTGTTGGGCCTGCGGAAGTCCTGGGATTGGAAGGCATCTTCCCATGGGACTCAGGCTAGGACAAGTGAAATGGCTTGTGGGAGAGTGGAGTTGCCTCTGCAGTTTGTTTTGGTTCCTGTTGAAGTCCATGGGAGCACAAGGTGTGTCTCCCTGCCTGGCGGGAAAATGCTAGGAGCTGCCTCTCCTCTTTGTTTAGCTGAGCCATCTATGGGTTCACCTGATCCTGGCAGCACTATGTCTTCCAGAGGTGAGTTTGCTCCATAGAGGAGCTCTTATCAAATTGTGAAACCAACCACAGACTGGCTGTAGGCAGGACCTAATGTTGTGGAGACTTTGACCACTGGGGACTCCTGGGTCTTCTGATTGCCTCACACTTGTCCAGGACGAGTGTGTGGCCATCTCTCTTTGCCTCACAGTTATGCTCCTCCTGTGCCATGTTTCTATGTTGATATCCTTGTCTCTGACTCCCCTTCATAATGGGAGGGAGGAGGTCTTTTCTGTAGGAGTTAGCAATATTGAAGGTGTTTCACCCATGGAATATACCACTCTGGGAGTGAACCTGCAAACCACTTGGACTACGTCAGAAAAAGATGGCTTGATATTCTGTAGAAAAAACATTAATTTCCCCTGAACCAAGGACCTGGCCTGCATGGGTCTAGCCCACAGAGATGCCCTGCCTATCTCTGGGAATGGTTGTCTGATAGCCTTCTCCCCTGCCTCCCAGGCTCGCCCATCCCCTGGGCTGGATGCCCTGCCTGTGCAGCTCAGTCCTCCACTCTAGTGGAAGCAGCACCAGCCTCTATTCACCTGAGATACGTGGTCTGCCTTAGCTCTGCCTTAGGCACAACTGGACAAATGAGCCAGTTTCAAAGACTTATGAAAGTCTGAGCTGGGAGAGACCTGTGGAGGCCAACCACACAGTATGGAAATAACCAAAGTGGAAACAAGGTTTTGGGAAGAGTGGACAGATGGACAAGAGCGAGGTAGAGCCCCTGCATGTCACTGATAGCAGTTCACATTGAAAGCGTGGGATGAGAAGAAAATGCTACTGGAGTTACCACAGTATCTCCAAAAAAGGCACTCTGCTTTTAAAATGATGACACCTAGTTAGGGAAGCTCAAAAGACAGAAGGTTTTTCCTTACAGATGATATCGCTAATCTAATTTACTCGTACTGTTATGTGCATGGGTGCACACAAATACAGATTTTTGCTACTGTTATGAACTTTTGAAAGGCATTCTGTTTTAAATCAAGACCATGGAAATTAGAAGTATACTTAAAATTGTGTTATTCCTAGGCCCTTTTACAACGGCTTAAAAATATTTTCTTCCATCCTGCCTTTATGTTTTTTATAAAAGGCATTTGAAACATGCATTATTAGACCAAACCACAGCCTGACACATGTCTACAGTGTATAAATAAACACTGGTCTATGTGGTATATAATGACCCCTTAAAAAATAAACTTTTCTGAAGAAGATGTAAGGACCAAGCTGTTGTCCCTGATGGGAAATTCTGAAAACAATTTTTAATTGCGATCAGAAGGGAAGGACATCTCAGGGTTGTTAGAAGTTTCTCTTCTGTTGTGTCCTCACCAGCTCTTGGTTTTGCTCTACATGTGTATTCGCTGAGAGCCATTTCCTCTGGTCATACCACCAACCAGTCACTTGTGGTCATTCTTTACTAAAATGTGGCAGATGCAGGAATACCTGCAACGCCTGTGCAGGCCTGCATCTTGGAGCCAAGCTAGCATGGACGCTACTCCCCTTCTGCTCCACAAACTTTAGGGCTACTGAAAAGCACTGAACTCATGTCACAAGATGCCAGCTGCGCCCAGAGGTTAGCTTAGCCCTACGCAAGTCCCCCGGGCCTCTGCAAGACCCGCAGTGAGTATCAGTCAGTTCCGGGGGTGTTTTAAACAGAGGTTTCCCTTGCGTGAAGTGCACAAGGATAATTTGTGCTGCCACAGTTAACTGTTGTGGTTGGAAAACAGCTTGACCTGGTTGCACAGCCCAGTAGCTCCCTCTGCTTGTGCTGGTGCCTGTGGATAGAAGAGGTGTCTTTCCACCACGGAGTTGGCCTTTGCTGAGCTCTGCGGTATGCATAACATTGTTTTTTAAATTAAGCCTTCTGTCTCTGCATTTAGCTAAACCTTTGGATACCAGCTCCAACCCTCCAGGATGGTTCGATTATTTTGACACACCCCCCCGCCTGAATGTGCGGTTAATCTGTGGATCACCTTGTTGCAGGACTTTGGAGCCACCAAGTGTTTATATCGTTCTGAGAGGACACATTGGTGGAGGGTGGCCAAACACACTGAAACTGCTGGCTCAGTAAGTCCCTGAGCTGCAACCTAAAGCTGCCTAAACCATGACGCAGGTAGAGGCTGGGAGGCTTCTATTCTTCACCCCTTTTTGGCCCTGGGTGGTATTGACCTGGAAGCATCTTTGGTCTGAACCACTATTACCCCTATACGCTGCAGCTAAGCCCTTGCACGCCAAAGCGCTAGTGCACAGCAGACACTCGATCTGCTGCTCTTGTATCCTGGCACGCTTGCCCGGCAAAAAGCAAGGTTAATGTTTATCCCAAGCTCGAGCCTCTCATCCAGGGTGAAGGAGAGTGCTAAGGGACAAGGCACTGCCCGCGAGCAGGAAGCAATAACACCCCATAGCAGGAGCTATCTCACAGTGCTGAGTTTCTCCTCCAGCTTGCAGACTGGGCAACCTCCTGCCACCATCACATCCACAAGACCTGGGGCTGGCTCTTTTCCTGTTTAAGAGCTGACTGTGGTGCCCTGAGCCAAAGCTGGGACTTCTCCACCTGCTTCTCAGGGTTAAGAGCTCCTCTGTAGAACATTAGCTCTGTCTGGCCTGGGGACGTGCCAGGTGCAAGAAGACAAACTGCTTTCCCACGCCAGGACCATAGTGGTGGTGCTGACGTAATTTAATGCCCTCCGACGTAATTCAGCCCCTTTCCTGGAGTTCAGTGAGAGGCTGCGGGCTACACTGAGACGCTAAATTGTGAGAATACTCCCGTGGGCACCTTCTGCTCAGCCTCGGGAGCTCTCCAGAGAGGAAAACAGCATACCAGGTTAGTCAGTGGAAGAAGAGAGACCAGTAACTGTGGCAAGCACATTTGGGGTGAGGGGTCCCCTGTCCTGCTGCAGCCAGATGGTTACTTTTGGTGCACGGTCTACTACCATTGAGACAAAGTCCCCATTTCGTCTTGTTATTAACTGATGGCTTCCTGCCGAGTGCAAAGTCTGGCTTTGATATTCTAGCTGGTGGATTGGTATCTGGTCTGGTTTTAAGCTTAATTTTCATAATAGAGAACCTCTTTGGCACGTTCTAGTGTCAAGCTGGTAGGAAGCTTTGAGACTTGAGGCAATATCCAAGATAAGTAAAATTAAATTTCAAGGTCCCTTGGGTAAAAACAGTACTCAGCCTAACATCACAATCCCCTGCTGAAAATACTTTTATTTTTTCTTTTATGAAGCAACTCTTTTAGTACAAAAGTATTGTTTATGGCAGCATTTTGCAGGGCGGAATAGTTCTAAAAGAAAATTACAACCAACTGATATTTTTTGCATCATCTTCTGATAACGTAACATTTTTCAACGTGATAAAAGCTCCTGCACATTGAGGGGGACACAGACTCTGAAAAGACTTCCAGTTTTGTCACTGCCATCACAATGGCGTTTTAAATCAGCCCCTGAAGCTGGTGGGTGTTTTGTGGGCCCAGCTTCCACCCTACCCCTCTGTGCCACCCGCCCCCACACGTGTCACAGTCAGTGATCTTGAACTTGGCAGGGTGGAAATCATTACAGCGGGAGAGATGGGAACTAGGGGAGTTCTCGTTAAATATGATGCTAATTGGGTATAACTAATTAGCAGCTTCCTCCATGCGGTTCCATCCAAACCTACCACAGGCACTCTCAGACCCCTTGTCCTCAGCAGGCTGGGATGAAGGTGAGTGCTGCAGCACCTCCTCTTCAGTGCAGATGTGTTGGGCACCGGTGTGACATAGCTTTGAACTAAATGTGCTTGAGGGTATTGCATCTGCAAACCAGTCCTGCCCTTCTGTCCTGGTTTGAGCGACACAGTAACTCTCCAGTAATTTTACTTTTCAGTAAGGTCTCTTTTGACGCTAGGGAAAACCGCATTTTTAGCAGACTCTAGAGTCTGAACTTGTGAAAATACTTACTTTATAGCCAGCTATGGTGTGTGGGTTTCAAGGTCTTGGTGTTTTTGAGCTGGCCAGGTGCAGGGATGAGGAGGAGCAAGACCTGGGCACTTGACCCAAGCTGGCCAACGGGATTATTTCATACCATGAGTGTCGCATTCACTATAAATTAGAAAGTTTGCTGAGGAGCTCGCTCTGTCCCTTGATGGCTGCCATCCTGAGAACTTCGTGCCCCGGTGCCGGACCCCTGAGCCCTTCCCTTCCTCCTGAGGCCACAACACTCACAGCATCCGACATTTACTGTTGCTGCTGGGAGTGCACAGCTTCCTACGGATAGAAGTGGCTGAGTATAATCCTTGTGTATTTTATATTGGTATCAGCATCAATATTGGCTCTTTAATATTATTAATGTTAATTAGTCTTATTCTAATAAATCTGT